ATTCAGATAATTTATGAGGAATATATATATATATATATATATAAAGGGTATATTAGATATTTTAGAATCCTCTTTGTACGCATAGTTTACCAATACATGTAATTTGGAAGTGTTACGAATAATGAAAAGCAGGAAGGTGGCACTTCATACATATATTCTCACAAATAACAATTACGTAATACTTCATTTCTTTAAGTATCACGTGCAACAAAGATCCAGATGATGGATTTGTAAGATACAATTTATTAAATATCATGTACATTTATGTATATTATTTACTATAAACATTTTCGACGTATTTATCTCTCAAATAATTTTTCCTAAGTAAAAAGTAAATTCGTTGCAATATATAATGGCCATTTTATTACTTCATAAATACACATATTTACATTTGGCCATGACTATTGCTACTGGAAAAATTGTGATTTTTCATATGAATAATAAAGTAAGATTTTCGATTGAAGGAAATCATTCCTTCTTTTTTTTAGATAATTCCCATCAATTGTCAGGAAAAGAAAGAGGGGGAGAGAGAGAGAGAGAGGAAGTGAACGTGTTCTTTACTTTACACTCAATGAAAAACCACATGTATAAAATTTCTGCAACAGGATAGGTAAAAATTCGGCCTAATAACGTTTTAGTGTCACATACATGACACTAAAATTGTACCGTAATGACGATTTCCTTTTTGCATAAAAAGAAATAAAAAGTGCCCGTGGTAATTTGAATCTATGAAAGATCCACGAAATGCGTAAAATTAATATACTTTGACATTTCACTGTACACAGATATACAGGACAGACGCAGTGTCACCTTTCGTACCTGAACAAAACAATCTTTTTTCTTTTTCAGTTTAATTTGCACATGTTCAAAACTACCCCATTGACACCAATGGATGAATTTACTACAATAGCATTGACGTTGGGTTCTCCATGAAGGCTTTAAAAGCAGTTAACCATTGAGCGCCTACTGCGCCGTCCACAGTACGATGGTCGCAACTGGCAGTGACAGACATAAATTGAGAAACAATATATCTGGAAGAAAATTAACGAATGGACAATGAAGTATAAATTGTTAAGTGACGATGTACTTTGAGGGAATGTAGTGTATTTACCCTTTCTCATTCTTGGCAGGTATTAGTCTCGCCTCTGTCGTACCCACGGCAAGAATGATCGATTGTGGAGGGTTGATGATGGCAGAGAAGTTCTTAATGCCGAACATTCCTAGATTTGATAGAGTGATCGTTCCACCTTGAAATTCCTGTGGTTGCAATTTTCCATCCCGCGCTTTCGCGGCCAAAACTTTTATATCTTTACTAATTTGAACTATACCCTTTGAGTCCGCACCAAATACTATTGGCGTGATTAGACCATTTTCTGTACTTACTGCTACACTTACATCAACATTATTGTATCTGAAGGGAGAGGATACAAATTTAGTTCGGTCGATTATATAGATTTATCAGGTCTCAGAAGAAGAATAACTCACTGTCTAATAACTTCTCCCAACCAAGCACTATTACCCTCAGGCACCTTTTTACAAGCCATAGCCATCCCTTTAACAATGATATCGTTTACACTAAGTTTCACTTTTTCTTTCTCCAACATTTTATTAAATTGCTGCCGCATTTCCAGGACGGCATCCATGTTCACGTCGATAGTTAGATAATAATGTGGAATAGTCTGCTTGCTTTCTAGCAAACGTTTTGCGATTACTGCGCGAATATTGGACACAGGAATGTCCATTCCTTCCATTCCTACCGGAACTGCCCCCGGTACTCCAAGTGGAGCACCTGCCACAGCTGCTGGGGCACCTTCTAAGTCTTTGACTGTTATTGATCCAAACAATCCTGTACCTTTTAAACCCTACAAGAGAATTAGTTACAATAAAATTATTGTATAATTGTTAAATTTTTAGCTTCAATTTTTACCTGCAAACTGAGACCTTTTTCAGCAGCAAGTCTTTTAGCCAAAGGACTAATAAATATTCTATCTCCTGATGGAGTTGGCAGTGGTTTTGGAGCAGCAGGCGCTGCAGGTGCGGGCGGAGTTACTGGAGATGGTGGAGGAGTCGACGGTGTTGGTGCAGCTGGTGGTGGTGGTGGAGGAGGAGCAGCAGCAGCTGGAGTATCATCTTTAAACTCTTTGAAGGCAGCAACGCTACCCTCATTTGGGACAATTATACAAACTAGTTTGCCAATGGGAACATTTTTTGTTCCAGCAGGTACCAAAATCTTAGCCAAGAAGCCTTCTTCTGGTGTTTCAAACCCCATTGTCGCTTTATCAGTTTCAATTTCAGCAAGCAAATCACCTTCATTCAGTTTTTCACCTGAATTAAAGTTTTAAAGTCCAAGATTACTATCGTTTCTATTAGACAGACTATAACATTTCAACCTACCTTCCTTTTTGTGCCAACTGATAATGGTGCCAGTCTCCATAGTAGGAGACAATGCAGGAAGCTGTATTTTGATATGTTCTGGAAAATCTGCATAAAACCTCAAGTGCTGCTTCCATGGAGTCACCGTAAATCTTAAGGTATTGTGAACCTGAATTCTGTATATCAAATAAAGAAAAGATTATTTTGTTTCTAAGAAATATCTAAATTTTGAAGACAACGTGAAATTTATATTTAATTGGTATCTTTGGGTAAATACTAACTTATATTAAGCATTGTAACAATGTTGTTCTGTTAAGAAAGAGGAACGAAAGTGTACAACAATTTTAACATATGCGTTGGGTAACGACAGGTCTAAAAAATACATTGTTGGAGAACTTTGCAGAAAGGATAGATAGGAGGAACATCCAGGTATCCTTAGTTACTTTAAGAACATTAAGGTAACCTTAATAATAAATCCTGACGAAAAGATTGACCGGAAGACGTCGAAATGTTTAAAATAGTCAGCGAACGGAGAACGAATTACCTTTGCAAATATTTTCTGTGAAGACATCGTATCACCACGGATCTTACAGTATTCGTGCGCACGGAACTTCCTAGTATTGCTCGTGCCAATTCATTACGTAGATTCGTCGTCGTTCGTATCATATCTCGGATGGTTCGAGGACTCTGTACTACTGGTTTTCGTAGCGGAGTCACAAAGTAATTCGAATTTTACACTTGGACACTCTGGACGGGAAACGTGTCCTAAACGTGTCAATGATGTAGGGGTTATCGTAAAACACAGACCAGGAACGGACGACGATGATACCGAATTTTATTAAGCATTGTAACAATGTTGTTCTGTTAAGAAAGAGGAACGAAAGTGTACAACAATTTTAACATATGCGTTGGGTAACGACAGGTCTAAAAAATACATTGTTGAACTTTGCAGAAAGGATAGATAGGAGGAACATCCAGGTATCCTTAGTTACTTTAAGAACATTAAGGTAACCTTAATAATAAATCCTGACGAAAAGATTGACCGGAAGACGTCGAAATGTTTAAAATAGTCAGCGAACGGAGAACGAATTACCTTTGCAAATATTTTCTGTGAAGACATCGTATCACCACGGATCTTACAGTATTCGTGCGCACGGAACTTCCTAGTATTGCTCGTGCCAATTCATTACGTAGATTCGTCGTCGTTCGTATCATATCTCGGATGGTTCGAGGACTCTGTACTACTGGTTTTCGTAGCGGAGTCACAAAGTAATTCGAATTTTACACTTGGACACTCTGGACGGGAAACGTGTCCTAAACGTGTCAATGATGTAGGGGTTATCGTAAAACACAGACCAGGAACGGACGACGATGATACCGAATTAGAGGTCGTCTGCAAGGTCACGTGGGTACAGATTTAAAGCTAGTTCTCAAAAGCATGGACCATTTTTCACGCGGATCACGGGATTTATAAAAAAAAATATATAAAAATAGCAAATAAAACGGAGTACAAAATCGTCTTCACATTGAAAACGAAATTAGAAGTTTATGTAAAGGTTATCTAGTGAACGATCAACGATGTCATTGATCAAATTGAGCGCATGCTGTGATTCGCTGAACGGAGTAGTCTGATTTTTGCACGGGCGCTTGTATACATATCTACACCTACACTTAAATACTGATTCATTCAGCGCTGTAAACGACACGCGCCTACGGCGTCTTGATGAACTTTAGTTTTGAATCCATTATACGAAGGAAAGAAGAGCCGATGGAAAATGAAAAAACGTGTGGCCAGCAGACCAGTAAAATCAGATAATCTTGACAATATCGTTGAAAGCGAAGAGCCCAAAGTCGGAAAATTTACTTTTTTCAATGGGGACGTTTACGATGGAGAATATAAAACGATTCCTAATCGCTTTTACTTGACTAAACATGGTAATTTTCTGTAAAACGTTATATTTTAAGTTTTGCCAATTCAGTTTTTCATGTAGGCACAGGAAGCTACATTACTGATAATTTTGACGTTTACTGCGGCGGTTGGGACGAGGATTGTTTTGCTGATTCTGACATTTATGTCAAGTAATGAAGATTATTCGATTATCTGAGATTAAATAAATTAATACCCGTTAAATTCATTATCGGAGGTATAACAACGACGCTCAGTATCGAGGCAGGATTGATTCGAACGGAACTATGAATGGATCCGGAACTTACCTATTTCCCGACGGATCTTCCATCGAAGCTGTTTGGCAAAATAACGTTCCCTTCACAAATATTATTTTCCGGGAACCTCTTGGATTTGCATGGATGGTTGAAAATATTTCGAAAGATGTAAAAAGTTTTACAAAAATTATTTTATTGTGAAAAATCTAAAATTTACATGCATCGAGAAATTTAAAATATTTTATATATTTGAAAATTTTCGCGTCATTGTTGCAGTCGATTACTTTTTCTCCTGGAAATCACTTCTGGAACGGCATGTTGCTCGATCAAAGCGTCACGCATTCCACTGAATCTTTGAATAAAAGCGAGCACAATTAATTCGACATAAATTAACATTGAGTTGTTCTAATCCTTTTTAAACTGCTGAGGAACCGTGAATTTAGTGACAGCCGATTTGAATAAAGGATTAGTGTTCGAACTGAATATAGTTTTCTTCCTGTCTCTTTGGAACTTTTCCCACTCCTTTTTATCTTGAATCGTTGTCCAAGCCCTATGTACCACATATGCTCATTTCATAAATAATATCTGGTGCTAATAAATTATAGTTTTATTGCACATAAATGTTTCTTACTTCCAAATCAACAAACATATGACTCCTAATGCGACTATCAAAAGAGCGATCGCGGATAACACTGTTGCTTTGTTTAGGGCTGTGCTACAGATCTAAATGTATTCACAATTTTATTAAAAAGCTACTTTATGTATCTGTAAACTGTCGCTATATCTATTTCATACCTTATCCTGAATTTTCAAAGTAACAACGTGATTATCTTTCTGGAATTCGTACACAAAGTGTATAACACAGGTGGTTCTCTCATCCTTCACTGTTTTCAAGAAACAATAATGTTCGTCTCCTAAAGCGTACAAACATTATTTCAACCACTGCTTCGTGTGTAATTCGAATTATGAATTCTACCAATTTACCTCTATTGACAGACTTTACTTTTACGGTGTTATAAGTGGTAATATTTGTTCGACAAAGTTCAGCGGCCTTTTCCGGCTCCTCAACAGTGGCGTTAACACACTCATTGTAAACGACGCAAAGGGCACTATAACCAGCGCTGATGGATGACTCGCAATAGGTGCCTCGATAATATAATCCATCTGATGCAGTCACGTTGCACCTGGTCAATATTTAAGTCTATTAATAAATTAATTTATTTTGAAGTTAAAAAAGAAACACCAACCGACACTCTCCGCAGTCGCAATATCCATGACCAGCGCAAATTTCTTTACTTCCCGGCGCTATGCAGAGGTCATCCGTCGATGGACATTGACAGGCGTTTCCCTCCCAGCCTTCTATGCATTGGCAAACACCGCATTGACAAGTGCCCTTGTTCGCACACTCGATTCCGTCGACCTGTAGAAACAAATTTTAATTCCTAACGTTTTATTCAAATTGTTGAGAGACTGATGCAATTTGAATCACCTTGTCGCATGCGGAACATTCGCAAAATTTTCCTTTGTACCCTTCATCGCAGAAACATTTGCCGCAAACGCAGTCGCCTCTCTGCGAGCAAATTTTCGACGAGTTCCCGTCTATACATTGCTGCACGTTGTTCAGCGATAAGTTCTCATTGCAATCGCAAGTTTCCCCTAAGATTTAAGGAACTCTCAATAGGAAGGAAGTGTTCGACTTTCGCGTTCCTCTTACCTGACCAACCGAAGTCGCATTTGCAAATGCCGCATTCGTTTGTCCCATGATCGCAGCGAGAACTTTTCGAATCTTGGCAATTGCAACCGCAGAGGAGTTCAACGTCGATCACTATTTTAGACAGTTCAGAAGCTAAAGCATCCTCGATTACGACTGTCTGTTTCTGAAATAATCAACAATCAGTAGTACAACTGCGTTATTGCTGTTATTCTTCTCTTTTTGGTACTGGCTTAACTTTTTCGAATAGGATAGAGAAGTTAAATCGTTGTAGATACCCGCAGATTTTGATCCTCCGGACACTTGTCAAAAGACAGAACAACTTTGAAATCGTACACCTCTCCCTCTTCTATGTGATCGCATTCGAAAGTGTTCCACTCGTGAGTGTTCTCATTCCCACAATTGGAGAGATACTTCACTCGTAGCGGGCTCGTCGAATTATCGTGCAAAATCACTTTCGAAGTGATCTGGTGATAAGCGCTCTTGATGATGTCCAGGATGTTTGAACTGTCGTAGGACAGAGTCCCGACATTGGCCTTGCCCCTCAACAATTTGGCGATGTGCTCGTATTCGTTGCGTCGATCCTCCGTTACGGCGAATATTACAATGACTTTATTCTGTTGCAATAACCGTGACAATTCCGCCAGGGAAGGGTAGTCGAATTCCGTGGACTGAGTGTACAGCCCACGTTCATCGAGATGGCATTTGAAATCATGCCGTTTCACGACACCGCCTAGCTAATCGCATTATCCAAAGTTTCGAAGTATTTGTATAAAGTACACGACACGTACATATATGCATGTTTGTTATATTATTATAAATACTTTTCGTTACCTTTCCATCGCCAGCAAAGTGTAAAAATCCGTCGGTAGCTACTAATATAATTTTCCGCGCATAGTGTCCCCAACCGATTTGTTTAGTGCAAATGATCGCCTGGGCGATCGCATCCAGCCCCCCTTCTAAGTTGTCTGCGTTTCCAGTCACTGAGCTGCTGTCCACCTGAAAGCCAATTTTGTTCGATTCTCGCTGCTTTTAAAAATGTTTTGGCTATACAGCCAATCCCAAAAGTTTAGAAACGCATTTTTTAAAAAGAAATTAGACGTCGGAAGAACATTGCTAATAATCATACGTAACTCGTTAAATATCGAAGTAAGAAGGAAAACAACTTTTATTTGAAGCATTTTTCGCAATTTTGAAAAAAAAATGTTTCCTCAGCGTCAATACTTTATTGGATATTTCCTTCTATACTTTTTAGCACGTAGCTATTTATTATTAGCATTATTCTTCCGACGTCTGATTTCTTTTTAATTATAGGAAATGCGTTTTTCTAAGGTACATAAACTTTTGGGATTGACTGTATAGCCAATACATCCTTAAACAATTCTCTGCTCGTACTTTTTTGACGAACTGTTCAATGTCGTTGGTCAGTGGCAAACGATGCCAGTAAGAGTAGACAGGAGAACAAGTGGAGTGCATGCCCTTACAGGGATTTTCCTCTTGCCCTGGGAAAACGAACGGCATCACAGGCTTGTCCGCGTAGCTACCGAAGCCTAAACGAAAATTGTTGGTGAGCATGCCTAACGTTTGGCTCATGTTCCATCCCAATCTAACCATGGTTTCTTTGTCGTCTCTCATTGTCCATGTCAGATCCATCAAATAATAGAGATCCAGAGGATAATTTCTAAATCGATTGAAGTTTAATAAAATTTATATCTGAAACCCGTTTACCGAATACGCGGTGCAGATGAGCGACATGTTCCCGCGCGTCATTACTACGGTCGTATACTTGTCGTCGTTAATTTAATTCTAAGAATAAGGATAAACAAACGCAAACATCGCAGTTGTACAGCGCGAAAAGAAATCGTACCACTAAAAATATATCCTGAATTTCATTCTAAGTATATAATGAAGTAACTGGAAATCGGATTCAGATAAAAAATAAAACGTGCGTTTCGTGTTTCCGCGATCTTAACCGCGCTATTTCCGAAAAAGGTTTGCGTTATCAGTTAAACAAACGTACTTAGCCAGCCGATAACGAATTGGAATCTCGACCTCGACGTGGGACGGAATTCTGACTTTTATTCTCTGCGGTCTCAATTGTATCGGTATTCGTTCCGGTTCCATGTCCTGAAAGTCAGTGTCCTCGAGGAGCGTTACCGATCCCGAAGGAGTGGTACGAATTTCTTCTGACGGACAACCGAACTGCTTCAGCCTCTCCAACGTGTTGCATCGGGGCTTTTCGATAGCCGAATTCGTATAATCCTGAAAATGAATTAAACAGGACGACTTCGAATCTCACTACACGCGACGTCCAATTTAATAGAAATCCTGGGACGTTTACCCAATCGCTGCACCAAGCGCAAGAGTTACTTGCTTGGAGACAATTCTCGCATGAATTTTGAGAGATGCACAGCGCCAGGATCTTCGGGTCTACGGCGTCGGACATTTCCCATTCACGGCACAGTAAAACAAGAAATAACACCTTCAAGTACTTCATTCTCGCGAACCGATGAAAGCCAAATTCAAATTAATAACTAAATGTAAACGCTATCTCTATTCTCTGCGGGCGAATCGTTAATTCATGTATCCAAGGATGTTCTTCTATTTTCGCGACGAATTCGAAACGGATTCTAAACGCAGCTGACGCAATCGGCAAAGATAGAGTCCCGGCATGACTGTTGTTATCTGTACTATGATAACGATACACGACGTTACCGGTAAAAATGAGATAGAAGATCGCGGTTGATCCGATATCGCTTCGCAATATAAACACTCGATTTTATCAATCTGGTGAATCCTGGCCGATCTCAGGAAACCGTTTCGAGCTAATACAATTTCAGGAGTTATTCAGTTTCGAAAAATCACGACATATTAACAAATAAATATTATTCGCGAGTTGCGAACGCTAAATCCCGTTATGTGTAGATCGACATCGAGGCTGATACTATATCGTGGACGCGTGTTCTAGTCGCGAGCTAACATTGTTCGTTGTGTCACATGCATCTGTCTGATAGACAATATCGGCATTGCTATGTACAAGGTGTCCCTTAGCGATATAAGGAAATAACGATAGAAATTATGCATTAAACAACGACCCAGTTTCCGAGCATCGCGATGTCGCAAGTATCTTATGCGATTCCTTGGCTCTTGTCCTCTCTTCTGTTCATTGTCTGTTCTTTATATTGTCTGGAAATTATGCTAAAAGGAATACGGTTTTGTTCGACTCAGCCTTGAGAACATCTTTGGATTTGACAGTCCATCCATGTTCCTATGTTCAATATTCATTCGTTCAGAAACGGAAAGCATGACGATCCATTAAAGTGTATCTCGATGACGAACGCGTATCGCAATTCGTGATGATTAATAGGAATTTCAAATAAGTTTTCTTTGTCGAGGAATTAAAAAGCAACGGAACTCGAATGACACGAACTGTCCCTTATAACTAATAGCTTGTCAACGCTAATGCGGCTGCTGTGTAACGTTTGTGCAACGCGTAGCCGCGTATTGTCTAATTATCGCTGTATTTCGTTGACACAGTAAGTAGAATGAGTAAAAAAAGTACAATCATGTGTACTAATAGTTCCACCCATAAAGCTAGCGTTTCACGTTATCAGTTGGTGACATAACTTGTAGACCGGTTTTCCAACGCTTTACATCCGTGTCTATTATAAATCACCGCCGCATGCCACTCATTTATATTGAAAAGAAATCTGTTCCACACGAGCTTAAGGGAATGGATCCTCGAAGATTGGGAAACGTAGTTTTATTAAAACGTTCATTTATAAAACAATCGTTCGTAAGTATCGGACAAGACATTATGGCACTTGCGTACTACTTGCCGAAACAAGAGCATCGCGTTTTACGCGAATCGGTAGTTGAATTGGGTCAAACAAGTACAAATTACACAACAGACTTTATTTCCCTTGCATGACGATTTGTTGCGAATTGTCCGCCGGACAACTCGTCGATTTTATTACATTCGGTCTCGATAAATATATGTACATACTTTTGTTTATTCTTCTCTGCAACCACAATGTTGAAAAAAATTGCAAATGAAAATAGATGCTTACGCTATCCCTATCTTACAGTACATACAATTACTCGTATCACATACCGATTACAAAAATTGTACCTGCGTCGTTTGGACCCAGTGTTTCTTACTCGTACCGCTGAAATAACTAAATGTGGAACCTCATTACGATAAATTGAAATTGTGCTGCGCTCGATCACGATTAAGTTCCAGCGCGTGTCTTAAAAAATATATTCACTCGCGTCACTGTTTCCTACATCGCAGAGGCGCGTATACTATTGTTTTATTCATTTGTACATTCTGCAAACGCTGCCTCCGCTCCGCAAAGAGAACTTTGGGCTCTTAAAAAACCTTAATTGCTGTTTCTCAATCAGATACGTGTCCCTGTGAAATATAATTCTAACACTTTCCACTTCTCGTTCAACGAGATCCGTTTAATTTTTGCGTAACGATTCACCACTATGAATAACAGCTTTTTTCTTCGACACGTTCTACATAATACAAGTTGTAAGGCCGACTACAGATCTATGCAATGCGCGGCAGCGCATCAATCAAAAATCCACTTGGAAAGGTCCTTTTTATTATCTGGTGCGCGCTGGAGGATAAACAAACCGGCGAATCGGGTTCCACAAGATTTGGTCGACCTTTTCAAGTGGATTTAGCACCCGCGCATTCATTTAGTCTGGAGACCTTTCCGCCGCGCTGGCCGTGCGCATTCGCGCGCAGCCGATGTTAAGGCGTATACCTCTAGAAACCAGTTTTTTGTTGCGCGTTTCGCAATGATCGTTACGTACTCCGAGTTTTTCTCTTAAATTACTTACATGCGTATCTATCTGTTAAATCGTGGACACTAACATTTTAGATATGAATTAGGGTTTCCTCTCGGAACTGGAAATACGTCTAGTCAGTTCTTGATGGATAACCGAGGTATCGAAGTCCTTGGATATTTTGGTGGGAATGATCTCATCGGCTTTTGGTTTCTCGACCTGTTTCGGTGAATTATTGCAACTCGTGGAGTTTGACATTAAACCTCGTATGAACATGCCCGCGCAGGCCCATGGGAAGGCCCTGAAAATATCGAATTAAGATTTACAAAAAAATTTAGTTACGATTTCTAAAACTTTTCTTAAAATAACGTCATATAAAATTCTAATTACCATTTCAAAACGAGCAGGATGTAAAGGTAACCAGGAACCACTGCTATTTTATCGTTGCACCTGATAGCCGTAATGATTCTATCCGCGACTTCGTTCGGGCTGAGCTTCGGCACGAATCTGAAGAACGCAAGGGTAAACGGATGAAAATAAATAAACTGCTGGTAGCGAGATGTTACTTATGCAGTCGAGCCAGCAAACAAAAGTCTTGTCTCTCACCTGGGCGACACGTCTCCGAACATGCCGGTGCTTCGAATGAAGAACGGGCATATCACCGTCGTCTTGATGTTGTAACCCTCAGCCTGTGAAACACGCGTCGCATCGAGACATCATTAATACACAGTCCCTTGAATTGAAAAATATTTCATTTACCGCCAACTCCATGTGAAGGGCCTCCTCGAATCCGATAGCTGCGAACTTGGATGTGCAATAATCCACCAACATCGGCACCCCAATGTGCCCGGCCAAGCTGGCGATGCTAACGATGTGTCCGTGGTTACTCTCCTTCATAGCAGGCAGAAACGCTTTCGTCGTCTTAAAAAAAAAATAATTGATGACAAAATAAGCAAGACAAAACTCTTATGTTGTCATCTGTTTGACGGATAGGATGTAGTTTCATCATTCAAGTATTTGCCACGTGCATTCAACTTTTGATATCCTCTACAAAATTTTGTGGTAAATACATAAAATCCATTCATCGTCTTCAACTGTTTATCATTTTCATTAACATATTTATTCAATCCTGTCTAGCTAATGCAAAATGAACTTGTTAAAAAGCTGCTAAGCATTAATATTCATTATCTCGGATAATCGAATTATTTATGCGATTTGCTGTTAGTTAATTGAACAAGGAAGATTCCAGCTGCAGGAAGGTAAATGCTAGACTCATTCCGGAGCTTCTTCGACGGATGTGTTTGTATATAATATCTACAAGTCATTAACATCAGCAAACATAATCGTAACACGAGTTGAACCATGTGCAAATAGACTCTGGCTGAACTGTGAGCACAGGACGAAAACGACACGAGAGTCGCGAACGCGGAGTGCCGGAGAGAAGGGGGCCGGCTCGAAGTCCTACCGAGACGAGCGACCGTGACATCGGATGCGGCAAGAGGTCCACGCTCCTTGCGAGCCCGTTAACCCACTTACCGCCACTCTATTTTCTCCCTCGTGGTTCCTCTAGTTTTCACTTTCGAAAGTAAAAACGCGCGTTGTCGATTCCGAGCAAAGTTTAAAACGGTTGTAATACCTGCCCCTACTTCTGAAAGTTCTTGCGATACACAATCCCCGTCTCACTGTATGTACTTCTTTACTATATAACGGGCTGCGTGACCTTTTGAGCGAGCCGAAAAAATGGAATCGTGAAATATCTCGAGGACCTTGGCTTTATTTCGCCTTCTCTTTTAATTTCATTTCTCTCGTTGTATTGTATGGATATTGCCATTAAACCGGCGCGACACGATGACGAAACGCGGATCGCGAAATCGGTATTCTCCGCGCGGCACGCTATAATTTTCGTCCTTCGTGTTCCAAATCCACGCTCGACTAGCGTGCTACGCAACGGTTTACCTTTAAAACGATTTGGTTTTTACATTGGCATTAGAAGTCAAACATTTGATGGAATCTCGGGTTCAAGTCCATCGAGTATACTGCATACGAAACTCAAACGTTCGAGTCGCCGGTTTATAACGAGAAACCGGGTGAGAGGCATTCCTGTACCCCTACGTATGCAGTGTTCTCTCCGTTTAGGACCCGTTGCTGTTGGTCAGGTTGGAAAACCGGTCGGCCGAATAGATGCAGTCTCTGCGGTATTCGCAAGTTGCGACACATACACGCGGTGCACGCTTGCCGAACGCGTGTGGGATAGTACCAGCATAATACTCGTTTGCCGCAACGCTCGGACACGCGGTCGAAAAAGCAATCGCACCTACCGCAGTGTCGTTCCTCTTACGAACGGCCGATGATAATAATCGCCGAGGACCGCAAATACTCTTCCGTCGATATGACGACATCGGCCGTCAAACGCTACTTCTAAAACCTTTTTCTCCTCTCATCCCAGAATAATTATAAATGGCCACGATTTCGCGAGTCACGAGAGTCCGGCCTGCGTAACGGGATACAGAGTGAAAGTTTACGGGGACATCATTCGCATCCAGGCATCATCGACATGCATAAACGCGTGGGGCGTCGAGTTAAGCTGAAAACATCTTTATCCGAGGACGAACAGAGATTGCTAAGGTAATGTTGTATTAATGCAACGTCGGCTTCTAATGGATAAAAGATGGGCTCGCGTTTAAACTTGTGTTCACGCGCGCTTGAAAGACACGTTATAACAACACTTCGTCGCGGACACCCTGTATGTACGTAGCGTATGTAGCACACGTTCCCGTTCATAGAATAAAACTTGGATTCCTGAGGATAATTGTATAGCTGGTTGCGTATCGCTGTCAGATAAATTGCAGAAGATAATAGACGTACCCAAAAGTGGCTCATCACGTTCACGTCCATCGTTCGGATAATGAGTTTGTCCGGCGTATCCAGAAACTTCGTGTTGCTCACCACGCCAGCGTTGTTTATCAAAATTGTCACCTATATACAAAATTCAACGTTCTTCTTTCATTTTGTCGACAAGCAAACAAGAATTCACATATTATCATAAAAATGTATTTCATATTTTATGTATCTTTCATAAATTAAGTGTATCGTATTGTGTATTATTTACTTTACATATTTAGCATAATTATACATATATATTTTTTACTTTACATATTTAGCATAATTAATGCATTCGTAGTTTCATAATAAGTACAGGCAGCTAATTCAAAATCTAAAAGACGAGAAAACTACTGAACGGATACGTGATTGGCATACCAGGAGAGACTTTTGTATCATCAATGTTCAATAATTAATTTTATTGTGATTACCTGATTTATTTTTCTACTCACATTTCCAACTTCTTTCTCGACGATTTTTGCCTTCTTGTAAACATCCTCTCGATCGCATAAATCGCAAGCGTAACCGTAACAGGTGCCACCTGCGGTTTGTACCAGCTTCACCGTCTCCTCGAGGCCTAGAATCAAACGAGGTCTGCCGACAAACTTTCCAAACAGACTGTCTCATTAAGGAGATTAGCGCGCATTTTCGCAGGATATATTAAAATTAATTCTAACTCCGGCAAATAACAGCTGAGTGAAATGTGAATTAATTAAAATCCTTAGTAATAGCATATCATGTAGGCATATGCAACGGTCTTGCAACTTCATTATAGAACTTGATACGAGCAAGGTTGCGAATATTTTTTATTTTCGAAAAACTATTTAAAGAAAACAGGAAAAGCGACTGCACATATATGATAAGAGAGAGAAAAAGAGATTCTGTTTATTGGGTTACAGACATGATTCGCGTTTCTTGCAATAAACACGTTTCGCAACAAGCCAATCCATGCAAACAAGACTGAAACACACGATTGCATTTCCTGCTTTGAGTTTGACACGGTCTAACTAAGAAAGAAGCTCCGTTGTTGACGTCTGCGGAAAGTAACGAGTTCGGCTATTTCTTAGCAAAAACTTATTGAGAATAAATAATGCCAAGTCTGTCTTCTAGGTTTTTTGTTCAAGTCACGTTAATCTATGCATATATTACAAGCAAGTAATTTTTTAAGATGATTAATTGATGTGCAATTAACAATGCGCAAGAACGCAAGTAGATGATACATAGATGAATCGTGTTCCGTTTGTGATTTGTCACTGATAAATTATAAAAGTAGAGATTGTGGTGAATCGAGATGGACACCTTTGCGCGGGTAGAAAGTCGAAACTCGTGGATATGTCGGCTGTCGCGCTCACTTGGCCAAGTAGTACACGTACAATATGAAAGATAATTGCAACACGTGAGATATGCCGTTCTCCACGTTGTACGAGATATAGATATTCCATAGAGAGTTTAACGAATGTTTCCAATTTCTTGTCGGTCTCAGACAAGCGAATTGACCGCCTCCGCGCTATATTTCGATTGAAATCACGTTCGGTCCGGGCCACGGTGTTCAGGCAGAATTACTAAATCGTGGCAACTATTGGAGAAAAATGAGGACCGATGTGGAAATCGTGAACCCACTATCGAATTTAAAAAGACTCGGCCGTTGCGTTGAATTCGACATTTTTTCCACCTCAAGATCACTCAGTTCGCTCAGGCCAGACGATCGACCAGATTTAATATCGGCAGATGGCCTTGAGATTCTTATACTTTGCTCTTTCCCTCGTAACCTGTTTCAGACTACTCTCCCAAGGATGACTTTTATTTGCAATTTTTGCCTGCGAGAGCCTGAGTAATTGCTAAATAAATGCTTGAAAGTTTTTTTACACTTAATCTTTACATAATAAATAAATATTGATTGTTGTGAAAAAATGTTGTCTATAATTTGATTTCCAGTTGCTGCGAATGCTAACGTATCTAACAATAAGTACTTATCGATATGCACGAGCCAAAATCATGATAAGTATGTAACACTGTCTAATTTTCGTCATGCGGTGCTTTACTTTCAGCGACACGTGTTCCGGTTGCAAAGAACACAGTTTACAGTCTAGCTCGGCTGTTTGTATAACATAAATGCACCCGTTCAGTATTCTGACCACGATGACCAAGTTACTGATTGCCGACGCTTAAAATTCATCACGCGTGCTTCCTATGCGTTGGCGAACCCCAAAAACGGTTTCCCTTTTCAATCGCAATTAGTAATTAATCTCCCGTAAAATCTTTCATTTTCTATCGCTCTATCTTCCATTCGAATTAATCTACATCACTGATCTTACAAGATTTTTTAAAAACAAATTGAACAGCTGCACTTTAGTCTTGCTTGCTTCCAGGCGTGTATTTACATACTTTTTTAAGATAATAAACACAATCTTCTAGTCGCAAAATCACTCGTTTTTTAAAAAAATTTTTACCACGTACATGCTTTTGCGTTTGTTGATTCATCAAGGATAGAATTTGTGCGGAATCATTGTGCCATCAAGTAAGGAGGAGCACGTAACAAGCGAACGCTGAAGGCCAGTCGGAAGTCGACTTACCATTTCTCGAGATGACCTTTCTGGGGTCATTAACACGGCCCAAACTCGGGATTAACCGAGAGTTGCACAACTCATTGAATCCCTTCGGGTATCACTATGACCGATTAGTCAAATTACGTAATTCGGTTTCCACGTTTACTACTCAGCCTCATATACCATCGTGATTATTGATACATACTCCACGAGTCTCAGATACTTTTTTTTTTATAGAGAATTGGTGTTAAATTTATTGTACGAACTTTTTACAAATTACTTGCATGACAAGTTTTTAGGTAACGTGACAAGTTTTTAGGTAAGATCGTGAATTATGTGTTCGTGAATCGCTAACGCAAGCCTGGGTTGACGCGTAATTCCACTTAATTATTTAATGCGAGGGGACACTAGGTGAACGACGATCAACAAGATTCTATTTGCCGAGCAATGAAGAAATGGCTATTTCTGCATGTATTTAGAAAAGTGCTGCTTTTCGTAATCGAAGGTGTAAACCGCGAGGACGGACCAGCCGATTCCTCGCAATTTTTATATTCTGCCCGGGACGAAAGCGAGGCCGCGACGAGACGTGACATTTAGAAATTGAGCGTGCTAGGTCTGATTCGCGTCAGAAATCCGAACACGCGTCCGACGGCCTTGAAATTGGGATGTTCGAGAGACGAGAGCAATTCGCATGATGTTCGACTCTAATTATCCCGGGGCCTTCGTATTCCAATTAAAGCTATACATCGTGGGTAATCCAATCGTGTCGATACCTTCACGTTTGCGTCAAACTTTTTATCACTTCGCGTTCCATAGAAGTTTACGTGCTCATCCACGATGACGAACAGAGATGACTTTACTTCATCTGTACCGCGATGTCATGTCTCGCGAGATTACTAATGAATTCTTAAAATAAAATGACGTATTTTCGTCGGATGAAGTCATTTAATTTAGATAAGGACATTCTTCTTTGAATGCAACATTTTTTTGTTCTTATAAACTTTTCCGAAGTACGAATTATTGATGTCGATGGAGAAGAATTTGCGACAAGTCTGTATTCACCAGCTTTTTTTAACACGATATACGTGAGATATTAAATTTATAGAGTTGAAGATAAATGATATTCTAGTATGGACTTCGTACGTACGTATCAAATATTAACGATGCGCGAGGAGCAGCTGCACCGCGTCGCGCAAGACTTCGCACTCACTACCAATAGTTTACTGAAACCCGTATCCTAAACGAATTAGCGTGGTTAGAGAGTTCTCTGTTTCATTATATGTCGCTGTCTATCCTTAGCCGTGCTATGCGATCTGGTCGATCGTTATTAAGATAGTTGAAAGACCGTCTCATTGCCAGTCTCCACCTCCGTTTAACTATAAATCAAGAAACTCTGATTTCTCCGAAATCACCCTCGACGCTTTTACTATAATCAACAAGTGAAGACCTCCTCTCCTGTAGACGATTATCAAAATTTTTTGGAGATTTCTCCTTTCGCTTTCCGATTCGAAGTTCGTCTAATCTTCGCTTTATAATTTAATTGTAATGAAACTCCATTGAAAAGTTTCATTTGAAACTGTACTTACCGGCCTTATTAACGTCCCAGATGACTACGATGGCGCCAAGATTGGCTAGCCTAAGAGCTATTAGCCTCCCTAGACCTCCACCACCTCCCGTAACGAGAGCGATCTCTCCGGCGATGCTCTTCATCTTGTATTTGGTCGGGATGAACATCTTGATGATCGTCTCGAAGATGCAAACTACGGTCAGGATCAGAAATCCGATCAGATCCCCGGCGGATCTGAGGAACGACATGGCTCTCGCGTTTTTCGCCAAGAACGAATTTTTTTCTAAAACCGTGCCGAACGTAATGCGTTTCCGCGGCTCTCTTCTGGGATTCGAAGACGATCGATCAGGATGTCATAGCTCGCTTCCAACGCGTGTGTGCTATCTTCCCTTCGGGGAGAAAGGAAGGGCGTTGCTACGGTCGAATGACGTCCTCGCGAGTTTCAAGATTATCTGAAATCTATGAAAATATTTTCTTAATTAATTATTATTAAACGTTTCGTGATTTAACCGGATGAATAAATTAGAAAGACTTGTGACCCAAGCACTTGTTTACCGCGACTGTATATTCGTTATCTCTTATAGTTACGATGAGCTAAATTTAGATTAGAGAAATGGATGATAACTAATACGAACGATCGTAGTTTTTTTGATAATGCGATGGTTACGTCGTCATAGAAACTAGTCTACGCTTTCTCCAAATTTGGTATCACTTTCATCTCGTTGTTACGGAAAGTATATCGGGGTTAAACGAGAACAATCGTCGCAAGCATTTGAAATCAACCGATCTTTGAACGGACGAAAGTAAAAGTATACACTTGGAAACGTTTCGTTTTCCTATATAAAAGAATTGCAAAACTCATGCGTCGTAACTCACAATTTTCCTGGTTCGCCGATGTCACAACGGATCTAAGCAAGAATACTCAGTATCGATTAGCTTTCTAATGGTACGCAAAATTTACGTTCGATCATCAGTCACGAATTTCACCCGCCGTGTAGTAATTATTTTTAATTGAGACTCGAACGATCGCGGTTAAGATCGTTTTCTCGTTTACGGAGTGAAAACCGAGCGCGTTGGACGAGGAACCGCTAGCAGCGAGGGGAAACGAAATCCTATCGTCTTATCCTATTTCTGTTCCGCGACAACTGGTTACATATATTTCTCAACTACAGGAAAATGTTTGTAAATTCGAGACCGCGGCACAGGACGTCACGGGGCGAGGAAAATTACTCCGACGCGTCGTTAATAATAGTCGACGATTCACTCGATTGTCGTCAATCGTTTCAATTTATTACCTTGTTTGTTATTCAAATAAAAAAAATAATTAATATATGATTTTTTAATCTACTGGACCGCAATGAATTATATTAATATTTGCAAATTTATAGACCGATTTTTACATCATCGTATCGACCGTCTAATTTAAATAGCATGTAAGTGATATCTATTCGTAATCGCGTAAACATGTTTTTTATACATCGCTAAGAAGGAAAAACGATATGCGATTACCAGTTCATCGAGATGAACGATTGGACATACCAGTAGCAGGTATCGTGGCACAATTCTTCTCACAATAAGGAAACTCGATTCGAGAGACGTGGTACCACTTTCAAAACCGTCTCGCGGCAGACTATAGATAGGTATTGAGCGCACCACGCCGTCAATGCACGAATTCAATTTGCGGCTGCTATAAGTCTTCCTCGCCGCTATTTTTATTGACTTACGCTACGAACATACTTCGCAGCGTATAAGCGAGTAAGTAAAAATATACATTTCTGTGTACTCAGATTTAAAGTCTCTTCGTGCAAGGTCCACCGCTGTCTTCTAGTTAATATTTTACGATGGCGGAAAGTATCTTCTCTATGCTATCAATTCCGAGCGAGGGTAAATTGGCAATAATAATAGAAAATTCAAATAAAAAGTGATATTGAATACAAACCTGTTCGTAAATCCGGTGGTTCTATCGGTGGAAAAGGAAGTAGCAAACAGTTGTTCCGGCGTGGAGTTCCCGTTAGAGAATTCACTCGCGTCCCCGGTGTACGGAGGAACACGGATAGAAAGGTGTGCACAGCGTATACAACTTGCGCGAAAGTCGTCTACGGGACACCGAATGAAGAAGGGAATTCGAAGTCGATCTTACCGGCACTACGGTCGTCGGTGTACTGAATGAAATCGCGGCTCCGATTCGCCTTTACCCTCTTCTCGACCGCCGATCTTCGGCATGCGGCCAGTCTGCGCGCATCAACCGCGAGACATCAAGCATTGTAACAACGAACAAGTGCATCGATCAACTCTGGCTATTCTCCTTCGATCATCTCACGCAATTGCCGTCCATTTCCTCTTTCCGATCGTTCAATTTCGTACGCGTAATTCACGAAGATTCACCTATGGATTATTAATTACTTGCATTTAACAAACTGGCGCAGTGTAATATCAATAATGTTGGATACAGTAACATTAATTGATAGATTTCAATTATAAAATCCTAATGCTCCCTTTTTTCAGCGAGCAACAGGTCTGGTAGGTTCGTGCACCGACGTCAACGACGAGAAGTTCATTGGTAGATCCATGACATCGTACAGTACTATTATTGCTTGTTACTCGTGCAATTTGTGAACTGGAACACCGGCACCGCACGACGCAAATACAAAACCGTGGATTGTTCGGTCGAGTTAGAATCGGTGCGGTGCAAGCGAGAGTCGAACGAAGGAGAGAGTAGCCGCCTCGGATGGAATATTGATGAGCAAAACGAAGTTTTCGTAAATAATTGTTGTTCGCCTCTGAAGAGAAATACAAAAAGCTTCGTTGAATCTCTGTTGAAATTATGGCGACAGAATTCTTCATGTCAAGGAGATCCAGATATTGGACGGGCAGGAACGATGGCCATGTACAAAACAAGTGAAATTGGTCAACGCTAAGAATTAATGATATCAACAGAATTTAATCGTGTTGTTGATGCGTCGTACGCTTGTTCAGTATATATTTTGAAGTCGCTTTTTCCTAAAAATACACACGTGTCTAGCAGATAACATAATTATATAATTAAAATTGTTTATTGTTGTTACAATCACGATTAAGGCAGGTCGTCGTCAAGCTAAGTGTCCTTGCATTTATATAAAAAATAAGCGCATTTGTAGTAATTTTGATAACCCAACCTGACATTGCGATTACAAATGATCGGACGATGAATACGTCTCTACTTAATTATAAATAATTAAGTCCTGAAATAGAATTGATCTAATCAGACGAATTACGGATACACGATCCATTAAAAGATTTGCATTAAACGGAGGGAGAATTTGTTTGCGATGTCGATCTGTTTGAACAGGTGGGCTCTTAAATCGTTCGTCGAGCAAAAGATCTCGATGAAAAGGAAAGTTACATTCCACGTGTGGAACCATCATTGAACTTGAATACGAGAAATCTTTCTCCCGTTCTAGCAAAACTACGGACCGGGTGAAAGTGACCAGCGAGCGCAGAATTCGGGAGATCCCAATTCGCGTCGAACTCTAATCGTTCGCTAGTTACGTCGATTTTAAATAAACACCGCGACGTCAAATAGAAGGAGCGTTGCGAATTATTAACGAAAACTGATCATTAATTTCGCCATGGTATTTCATGTCGACAGCTAGCCAAAGTGTCTCCCACGGAAGTGGTCGCCGATCCAAGTGAAAACGTCATTCGGAGTTCGAGGTGTCTAAAAGAATAAGAATTACGAAATTAACGTTAGTGTGTACTTTCACTGAAATTCGCATTGAGTAGACCCGCGCAAAATAGACCTCTATGATCGCCATCGAGTAGATTCCACTTTTTGCCCAAGCAGACGATTACTAAACATGTAAATAAGGAAGCGTACAAATATTGGCACTTCGGAGCTTTTTCTTTCAAGCGCGCGTGCTATTACTCATATGTCATGAATTCATCTTAAACTTATCGATCTATGGGATAATTAAATATGCATAATGCTTTTGAATTTATATTATATTTATATTAATAATACAATATTAATGCTAAATATCCTCGATGTTTAATAAATGTTAACAAGATAGTCTAATTTACACATTTCTCTTTTAATTATAAAGCGTTGACAGATTGCAATCAACGTAGTGGAATAAGCAATATTTGCTATTTCTATTTGTAATTCATTCTATACTGTCCTTCTGTTTAAAAGGAGAAGTAAGAACCGCGTCGGTACATTTGAAATACTCATGTCTCAACGAAAGATGACGCCTCCATGTTGGGAAGTACTTCGCGCTTAGAAGTCCGCTACATATTTAAGGATGTAGGATGTACTGGCTATACAGTCAATCCCAAAAGTTTATGTACCTTAGAAAAATGCATTTCCTATAATTAAAAAGAAATCAGACGTCGGAAGAACAATGCTAGTAATAAATAGCTACGTGCTAAAAAGTATAGCAGGAAATATCAAATTAATTATTGACGCTGGCGAAAAACTTTTTATACAGAAGTTGTAGGCTTTGACATCCTCTACAAAGAAAGTTTCTACGCATTTTTCTTCTAACTTTAGTATTTAACGAGTTAAGTATGATTATTTGGCATTTTATTGATGTTGACAAAATCCAACCATCCCAGCGTCGAAACGGCGAACTTTTGGAAAAAAATTTCGTTTTTCCTCAATAACTCCTAAACCCTTAAAGACACGGGAAAATTGCATACAACCTTTTTTGTAGAGGACGACGAGATCTACAATTTCTGTATAACAGTTTTTCGTTAGCATTAATAGTTTACGAGTTATTGACGAAAAACGAAAAAACAGTTTTTTGCGAATTACTCGTAAACTATTAACGCTAGTGCAAAACTGTTATACAGAAATTGTAGATCTCGTCGTCCTCTACAAAAAAGGTCTGATGCAATTTTCCCGTAAGTTCAACGGTTTTGGAGTTATTGGCAAAAAACGAAAATTTCGCAAAATTTGAAGGGGTACCCNATCGTCAAAAATTCCAGGCTTTGAATTGCTTTAAAATTTTGCAGGTAGCTTTTTAATAGTAATAGGAATCTATAATAGCAAATTCAACACTCTAGCATTGTTTAAGTGTATAGCCTATACATCCTTAAGGATAAGAAACGAATTCACATTCTCATGGAATTTTTTCAGCTAAAATAAAACGAAACGCACAGTATGTTATTAAAGAAATCCTGCGCATAATTGCACTCGTGTTTCCATCGCACGTGCGCTAATCCTTGAGTGCCATAAACGACGAAAGGAAACTTATGTCCTGGCTATTTCAAAGGACAACAATAGAGCCGTCGTTTAATTTCATTTATTCATTAATTCAGGTACAGCTCATTGCGAGGAGCAACGAGCCGCATAACTAATCAGACGGTCACGCCGGTTTGTCATTGTACCAAATCTTTCTTTCCATGACACGTGATTCATCCCTTGTAACGATAACGATCGAAGGTCTTTTAACAAATGTATTTTTTTAACGCGAGCGAACTGTTCGGCGATCATAATTTCAAATACCAGCAAACAATCTCGAGGCAGGACTCTCTCTGTTCAGTCTTCTCTTCTGTTCAACTCAATCAATTAAACTGCAGCATGAATACACAGTAACTGGATTTTTCACAGAATTTGAGACTGAATGCTCCTTTGGAGAATGTCGCAACACGACCTTTAGCGATAAAGAATTAGGAAGCATCAATATTATCACCAAGATCGACATCCACAACCCTTTATTCATTGGGCCTTTCGCTACGGCAGTCCGCCCCAAAATAATTCCACTGAACGGGGCATCGCGCCGAAGTGTGCATATTGCTGAATGTAATTATATATTTGATATCTAATTGATGCCAACTATAATAGGCGCTCGTAGCGAAAGGGTTAATAATAACGTAACAAGTGGGCTGCCAATTTAGTTATTTCATTTCTCAGTTTCTCGTTTCTTGACGCATTCCTACTTGATATTACTATTACTATAATTATTCTTTTTTTTTTTATTTGGTTCAATGCACAACACCTGATTGTCGTGTAATTAGACCTGCTTCTCCGCCTGTTCCCCCTACTGTGTTCTAAATCTGTCTATCTCGGAAACTTTCCTGTATCTCGACCTTTCTTGACTTTCGTAGGAGAATAGTACCCGCGTGACCTAGATCGTATGACTCGTCTTTTCACCGCGCGGTCTTATCCAACTGCCTACACGTTATAGAGACTATCGGGTTCGCACGAAGTGTGTGTCCGCAGCCGCAATTCGAACGACGAGTCACGCACGTAATAGCACGCGAACGTGTACTATCACTGGAAATGTCCCGATGTTCAACATTTTCCAGTGCGGCCGCCGCCGCTCGGCACGCGTTTGCGTCAAGGTACGAGAAATAAATTTCCTCCGCAATTGTGCAAGCCAGGTGGGCTATTATAATGTCCCATCTGAATTACAAGCACGTAATTTGAGGATTAACTCGGATCTCGTAACTTTCTAACCGAAGGAAAATAACATAGCCAGCCCCCTGGCTGAAGGATATTGCAAATCAATGACCTCGCGTAATTTCCCGCGTAATACACAACCCGTGGCTTCATGATTCAAGCTATGCGGTGGTGAAAGAAGAGTCAACCGTTTATTGTATAAAATTTACGAATTTAATAAACAAGGAGGACTGTACACTGAATTGATGTGTTACTGTTTTATTTGTTAGTTGTAATTATGTATTCATTACTTTATCGAAGAGTGTCACTTGTTAATAAATAATTACATGTTATCTACTGTTGAATTGCAAGGAGAGATCCATTTGATTGACTCCTTTGGCAAAAAAATTATTACCTTGGTAAATCTTTTTTCTGTTCCTTCATGCTCTACATACACACAGTCACGAAATGATAGGATAACTTCAGAAAGGTAGAGAGTAGTAATGGTAACGGGAACTTTCACCATATAACTGAGGTACAGGCCTTTCCTAAGATATTAGGAATCTGCAAAACATGATGTATACATTTTATTCAATTCTACCCGTGTTAATAACACTGCGCATCTCCTGATCCATGGACACCGACCTCTGCTTATCTCTGTAACAAATACAGTACAGGATGTACGTGTACATAATTTAAATGACATTTGAGATAAAAGAAAAATATCTACACGTTCGTATCGTATAAACTGAGACACAAGAATGGAGGAATGAAAAAAATGCGATAAATTAGTGTTAAGGACACAATAAGCATCATGCGGTACAGAGAGGGAGAGGAGCGTCAAATCGGTCCTTGTGTACTTTTTAAATAGAGTTTCCGGCAACGTCACTGAACAACGCCTTAGATACACGTTGGAGTATCGCGTGTCTCTTGCAATTCGGTCGCACCAGGAGATACTACGTCCTGACCGACGCCAGTCAACATCGGTCGATCAACGGACGCGCAACTCGTACGCGGAGAGAGAAAACGAGTCGTTTTTCAAATTCGCACTTCTCTTCGCGCCTTCAGAAAGTCACAGAGGTAACTCCGCAATTTCGTCCCTTCAACTTATCTTAAATCAAATTGCTTATCTCGCCGTAACGCGATAAACAAGAATGAAAATTTTATTAATACATTGAAGAAATAATACAATGAACGAAGAGAGTAATCGTTTCCGTGACACTTCGTCTATTTTCGCGGTAATTCCAAGTTGCAAAATTCGCCGAATTTATTTTTTCCAGTAAAACGTTCCTTTCATCGGGCTCGCGTTCGAAGTTCAAAAATTGTTTGTGTCTTTTACTATTTCTTACATTACGACTTTCGATAAATCGGCTTTCACCAGGTTGTAATAAGCCAGTCGTTAATTTTATCAAATAGAAACGCTTGCAACCGCACGTGATGATCCGGGAACTCTGGGAACTGGTACGCGGAACCAAGTTTTCCTCCACCCGCGAAAAATAATCGGAACTCCGCGCGAGGTGTCTTCCGATTGCAAACGAGAACGAAAGCGAACAGAAGTCCGAAACACTTTTCGTATTCGCGTCTCGCGCGGCGAACGATCGACGGATCCGATAAATTATTCAGACAGAAGTGTACGACGATCGGGGAATAAATTTCTTTAGACGGCTGCATCCTCGCTCGATCCTGAATAAGGAACCGCTCAGTACATTGACCGGGCTTAATAGCTTCGGTAACCGCGAATCGGTGGCTCGTAGACCGGTGTGTTCTACTGTGTACTACTACCGGCTCAGGAATACCGTAATACACGTAACTCGACTTCTATCTACTTAGTACTTACCAGACCACTGATTTCTACGTCCCGCTTGAAACGGGAGAAGGAAAAGAGCAGAGGAACCAGTCCTATGCTACCGGGCCTTTAAGGTAGTTGCGAGTGAATGTTCAGTTTAAAAACCCCGGAACAAGTGATGTAACAGACCCTTGAATGTACAACGTAAAGTACAACTTGTGTTGCAAGGGGTCGATTAAATGATCATTATCTGAAATGTGAGGAAATAAAAGAATGTTATAAACACGCATGGGGTGTCGTAACTCTTTAGTAAACGTCTAATTTGTTCCACTAGTTTCGGGAATATATAATAGACGGGTGAACAAGCAAGACGGTTACATTATTTATGCCGCTTCGTTAGAAAATACAATTTTGTCTTCTTTTTTTTTAGTACTTGTAATCGTGAGATATAAATGGAGCTACCGGAATGGATCATGATAATATACGATCTCCTGCTGTTTACGGGTATGGCATTAATTTACATAATCGAGGCCATCGTTCTGACGTTCGTTCCACGACGTTTTCGCTCGAAATCGGTAAACGGGGAAGTCGCGCTGGTAACAGGAGGCGCGGGAGGAATCGGGCGACTGATTGCCATCAAGCTAGCGAAACTCGGAGCGCGTGTTGTTATCTGGGATATCAACAAAATTGGTAGGTGAAATAAAACGTATTCAATGTTATAAATTATAAATCTACGTGAATGATTTTCAGGATTAGAAGATACGGTTCGAGAGATCAACCAAGCGGGAGGAAAATGTTGGAGTTACTATTGCGACATCACCAACAGAGAAGAAATCTATAGAATGGTAAAAACTGTCCAGATCGAAGTCGGCCCGGTAAGTAAAATTGACTTTTTTGTTTCAATACTAAATCACGCTCACGAATAATTATATTGATATTTAGGTAACGTTGCTAATAAATAACGCAGGATACGTTTGCGGAAAAACGCTTTGGAACTTACCGGACGATGAGATCGAGCGCACTTACAAAGTGAACATCCTTTCCCATTACTGGGTAGGTTGAAGCGAAGGATAATGTGTTAGAATATATTCAGGTGGCATTTATATTCGACAGATCACTAAAGCATTCATTAAAGACATGATGAAAAATAATCACGGTCACATAGTGACCGTGGCAAGCGTCGCAGGACTTCTGGGCACTTACAATTGTACAGATTACTCGGCAACCAAATCCGCGGCCATCGGCTATCACGAAAGTCTCTTTATTGAACTTAAAGTAACTACATTCCTTTTGTTTAATAAATTTCATTAGTTATCGTAATTTATACTTAGATAATGAAATTCTTATTTTTAGACTCATGGTTACGATGGAATTTATACTACTTTAGTCTGTCCTTACCTTATTAATACAGGGATGTTTCATGGAGTAAAACCTAGGTACGCTATGTTAAAAAAAATTCCGATTTTTCCGATTTAATTCTTGAGAATTGTTTAATTCGCAGATTGTTGCCGATGTTGGACCCTGAGTATGTTGCACAGGAAATTATTTCCGGAATATTAGTGAATCAAGCGGTTGTAGTAATGCCCGGATCGTTTAGATACCTCTTACCGTTTAAATAGTAAATTACACAAATTTTTATCCTATCTTGCTAATTTTGAGGAACGAATTGAGCTTGACGTTTCAATTTTTTCACAAGCGTGTTACCAGCAAAGATGTGTTGGGCGTTGATGTACCATATCATACGCGGACCTCAATCTATGATGATGTTCCAAGGAAGGAAGGAAAAGGAAACGTTGAAGAACAATAATAATGCCACGATGATGTCTACAGAATCTTATCAGCATTGATTTTGTAGAGAATTTCTCGAGTGAAATAATTTACGACCCCTCATAGTACAAGAGATGATTATTGCGTTTACTACGTAAGTATTATTAGAAGCGGTTTCTTAAAAATATACAATAAGAAATCTGTTCACTAATTTTAAGACTGAATATTTATTTGCACGTGTATACGGTTCTTTATTGTTCAAGTAATAAATACATTTGAAATGTATGTAAAAAGAATTACAATAAATCATAAAAATAATTCAGGCCTTGGCCAAGTTCCCATATTGATAAGCCTGTACCCAATTGATCTGCGAGATCCAGTCGTTGTAAAATGGAATATAACGTGGGATAAAATATAATTCCACTCCCGTCTGACGACCTGAAATGAATTCCCAACTTGTATGATAAAATAATCTCGTGCAAGGCAAAAATTACATTTTGTATAAATTATATCTTACTTTGCTTCAAAGTAGTGTTCTTTATTATTCTCATCCCATTGAATCTTTTTCTTAATAGACTCAAGAATTCTCAAATAATCTGAACCTAAAATTGCTCCTCCACCTTGGGGCGTGTAATTGTATCCATAAAAATTGAGACCTAACAATATTTGACTTCTCTTAGGGCCTGGCTCAGGCACTAATAATTCTACGCATTCTCTTGCCCAATGCAGAGGACTGTTAGGTCCAGGGTGCTGAATACTTGAGTAATCATAAGTCATTAAAGAGAATGCTTTCAAGTATGGTGATAACCGGTCAAAGTGGTCTTTGTTAAACAGTTGAACTTTTGGGCTGAAATATATTAACAAGTGACGATATTTTTTGAAACAGCAATTTATTGTTAACTAAAGTAATAAGATCGTATTTACCCCATTGAAGGTGGTACTGCCAGAATAGTATCTAAATTATTGTTCTTTAATTCACGAGCAATAATTTGGATAAAGTTTACAACACTCAGGGGATCGTGACTTGTTAATACAAATTGATTCCACAGTTCCAATACATATCCAGCAAAGCGGAAGTGCTAATTATCAGAATTATTATACATCTGATGTTATGAACATTTAATATGCAGTGTATATTTTTATACATACCTTTGCTGTATCTACCAATGCTTTAATTACTTCTTTCTGCTTCTCCTTATTACTGAACAGTCCAGTAATAGCAGGTGCTGACCAATGTTCAAATAATACTCTTGGTAAAACTGTAAGTAATAATTATGTATCTCCTGTTGCCCAAAAGCAACATTAGATATTACAACTTAATATACTTTTTACAGAGTGGTCTTCTCTCTTTAATGATCTCATTTCTTTCAACCATTTCTCTTGAACGTTATTCGTTGAAAGTTTATACGTTGAATCATTGCCTTCTGGAAATGACAACCATACGGGCGATACCATTGTGAATTTTCCATGAAATATTTTGGCAATTTTTAATCCATTGTTATTCCACTTTAAGAAATAATTTTTAAGTATTTGTTAGTTATCCTTGGTTCAATATCTTATTTGACAAAATACAGCAAACATACTGGTGTAATGTATCCTAGAACTTCGCCATGAAATCGTCGACGAGTTGTATTAGAATAGTAAGTACCTGATTCTCGAATAATATCGGCCGTTCTAGGATTTTGTACTACTAAGTTTCTACTAAAAACATCTTGATCCACAGGACCATTCTGTAAAAGAAATAAGAATAAAGTGTTTGCAAATATTGTTACAATATTATTCTTTCTACCTTTATCTCTATTTTCCCTTTGCTTTTTTTGTTACTCTTTCCTTGGGTCGTTGACGATTGAATTAGCAACAAACTAATTATTAATAAAAATATATTCATTATTGATTTCAGTTCAAACTAGTTGAAGACAAATTATTTCTGATTAACCTAGGGTATGCACTGTTAAAGTATTTTGTGGAATCATTAATTGGCAAGAAACTGATGTAGTAGAAAAACTCTAAGCACCGTACTAAATAAAACAGAAGTTGCAATTGCCAAAATTAAAAAGTTGCTATCTCAGGATAATTGTTATTTTTATTTATATTTCAGGATATTGAAATCGAATAGCCATCTGGTGATAAGACAACGAAACATAAATAAAATCTTTTTTATTTGAAACGAAAGAACTATGGCCGGTATTCAGAGTAGTTGCTTATTTCATCGGGGAGAGATTAGTAAAAAGTGGCAACGCCTGTGTTAACGTGCGGCTCCAAAAAAGGGCACGGGAGGGCTCGAATCGGCAAGGTAGATTCATGAAATCTCACAGAATGACTGCTTTGGCGTGTACCGACGTTCAGACCCACCGATGCTGGTGCCGATGCTTTTTTCCAGCACGATAGGTAATAGGCAATCGTAGAACGCTGATATTATCAACCTTATACTTGATTCGAGATTATTACTTCGGAAATAGATTACCTATAATTTTCAAATTTTGTCACACTTGTATTGCTTTATTTTCATTAGTGCATACCATATTTTGTATTTGAAGTAAGAATAAAAATAATTTCTTAATTTTTTATTTTGCATTTAATATCTTAATGAATATCAGTATCTAATTTAAACTCAAACTTGCCGCTACCGCGCCCCTTAATTAGTTTTTGAATTGTTGTATTCACAAAATAGCGTAATTCATTATACACATTGTAAAAGTAGAATCTTCAATGTTCAGTTCATGGTAAATCTTAAACATTGTTGTTAATGCTGGTAATACAAAAGTAGAAAATTAAGTTCTTCATGCAGTCATCGGATAATAGTTTTAAATTCTGATGCTTGATGGTCGCACAGCCTACTTTAATTTTAATACCTAGCCATGCTAAGAATAAAATGGCAAAACCGAGGGAGTCCGAATTTCGTGTAGTGCAACCACAGCCAACTCCGTGCGACCACAGTTGCCCGAAGTTTAAGTTTAAAAAAATTCGATCCCAAAACAGGATTCATTTTAAGCGATTGGCACGATAATTCAAAGTAAGGAACAGGAGAACATGCATCAATTAATTAAAATACTGCTACTACCATTAGCTATTATCAACCTTATACTTGATTCGAGATTATTACTTCGGAAATAGATTACCTATAATTTTCAAATTTTGTCACACTTGTATTGCTTTATTTTCATTAGTGCATACCATATTTTGTATTTGAAGTAAGAATAAAAATAATTTCTTAATTTTTTATTTTGCATTTAATATCTTAATGAATATCAGTATCTAATTTAAACTCAAACTTGCCGCTACCGCGCCCCTTAATTAGTTTTTGAATTGTTGTATTCACAAAATAGCGTAATTCATTATACACATTGTAAAAGTAGAATCTTCAATGTTCAGTTCATGGTAAATCTTAAACATTGTTGTTAATGCTGGTAATACAAAAGTAGAAAATTAAGTTCTTCATGCAGTCATCGGATAATAGTTTTAAATTCTGATGCTTGATGGTCGCACAGCCTACTTTAATTTTAATACCTAGCCATGCTAAGAATAAAATGGCAAAACCGAGGGAGTCCGAATTTCGTGTAGTGCAACCACAGCCAACTCCGTGCGACCACAGTTGCCCGAAGTTTAAGTTTAAAAAAATTCGATCCCAAAACAGGATTCATTTTAAGCGATTGGCACGATAATTCAAAGTAAGGAACAGGAGAACATGCATCAATTAATTAAAATACTGCTACTACCATTAGCTTCCTCAATTATATTAATCTACAGATTTATTGTATGTAAATTAATAAATTAATAAAGATGTCAAAAATTCATGTCATACCCTTTCAATAAACTTTTCACGCAACCGTTTTCTTCGACGACCTAATCTGTATCTAATTTAATTATTCAAACATTATTATATAAAATTTGTGTGGAATACAGTCCTTTCTTTATTGAATCATTAATTATATACCATTCCATAAAATCTTAATGCAATTTAGGACGAGAAAGTGTCATAATTTCGGAGACACTCTATGTCTCTGTTTCAAACTCCTCGTGATGAAAACAAATAGAAATACTTATATATATTTATTTATCATGAGAATCAAAACAATGCGATGAGATCACGATTTGATATATTGATAGCATTGTCATTTCGATCGATGATAGAAGAGCAGAAGAAATAGACCGGTTGATTTCATCCGAACGAACGGGCTAAGACTACGCGTCCGGCGGCGATAATTCCTCGATAATAGCTCGATAACGGGTCTCATTGTCCCATGGAATTTCCAGAGAACAGTGTAACGACGACAGTGTCCGGTAAAGCTGCTACGTCAAAGATCTGTTCGCCCTTGTATCGACGCAACATGACGCCCGACAAACGAAGTTCCGGTTCCATTCAGTGTCGTATTTGCCACGAAGGTACTACATACATATTTGATACACCACGCCATGCAATAATTTTGGTTTCTGTGTATTTCACGTTTCATTTTTTAAAATAAATTTCTGCTCGATCGTTTCTCCAACCGGTACGGAATTAAGTGATTCGTGAATGGAATGTGTCAAGTGCTTTTCTTTGCTAACGATTTTTAATGTACATCATAAAGTTAAACGGTGAAAGACATAAAATGTTTAGTGATCATATATTTATAACGAAACAAGTAGCTTTTTACTCAAATTCATATCAACTTCAGTGATATTCGTTGTTTTATTTTTACACATAAACATGTGCTTCTTTGTGGAATTAATAGTAAGTATTTTTAAAATGACATATGTCAAATTCGTATAACTCTAATTAATAACATTAACAACGGTGTTAGACTCCTGTCGAAATAGATATTTTAATTAAACTATGCACAGTTAAATTGTATACAGCTTCGTCTTTTGTATTTTGATACTTTTTTTATATTATTAATTTTTTAAATTTTATCGATAATTTTTTGGATATCTGAACTTTTCATTTCGATCACGATGTCGATGACACTACAAACTATCCCGTGAGACATTTCGAAATGCACTCTGAGTCACCCAGCCACGTACTTTGATGAATCAATAGCAAAAATAAGCTAATTCCATGCATCCTAAGCAACGCAAAGTATACATGATTAAGAAATATAGTAATATGAAATAACGATATACGAGCAGGAATAATTGTTATCTTCTAATCACCTCGTTATTGTCCATATAAATGAATCAATTAATTTCGCGATAAGATTAACACTACTATATGATAGGATCTCTCCAGATCCATGTCGATCGACTATTTCAGTATTGAGATAACACGCAATCTCCTGAGAAAATCTAAACAGAATCATATATCTCAAACTGCGAGTACAAAAGAACAATGACACAACTTCCGCTAGTGCAATATCAATGACCTTCCAAACGATAAGGGATTATATTCGGACATTATTTCCACAGATAGTGGTATAGAAGAATTGATAGATCTCCCATGCAAGTGTAAGGGATCGTTGGGTCCAATTCACAGAAGTTGTTTAGAGAAGTGGTTATCCACGTCGAACAAGAATTGTTGCGAGGTTTGCGAACATCCGTTCGAAATACAGAAGAAGAATAAACCGTTCTCACAGGTGAACTTTTCTCTGTTTTGCAACGGAAATCGGAATATGATCTTTTCTTCTATTCCTATTTGCACGGAATTAGTTAACGATCTTCTAAAACGATGAACACAATTTATATGCGAGAAACATGAACATTATCTTTCCTCTATGTATTATAGCTAAGATTATTATCGCAGTCTTTTAGGGAATGGTGGAGGACCAGGGAGAATATGTACGGACCACACGGTGTAGCCGCTGATATAGCGTGTTTGATAGTATTAACTCCACTATGTCTGACCGCCACGTATTTGTGTGCAATCGGTGCGTCTACTTACACTAGTCTCGGTTATTGGGAAGGCAAGGGTTTAGCTGTGCTCTGTATCATACTGGTGGCTACTTATTTTTTATGGTTAATCGTCACTATCAGGTACGATTTACGAAGACTGATAAAACAAACTTTTTTCATTCTGCAATTTATACTGCATGTTGTAAATACATAAAAGTAGTAGTGAAATTTAAAAAAGTAAGAAAAGAGAACAGATTAGAAGAGTAACTCCTATATTAAGTTAGAGATAATGCAAGGGTTGAACGTTGACACAGATAAGGGATTGCTCGTTTCAGGTTCCACTTCAAATCGTGGCAACGATGGTGTACAGGACATCAAGACGTAAAATTAGTAATGAAACGAGAACCTGGTGTATCGTCTAACCACAGATCGCAGATTAAAACATTGGTAAATGTCGATCAAGACGGTAATAACAATAACGCTGTTCAAAGTAATCGACTCACAGATTGGATATTTATTCCACGTAACAATAATAATACTGTGCAACAGGAGTCAACGATTGTATAAATTTTTCTGTCGAACTAAATCCTGTAAAATTTTCAACCGATAAACAAATGTCAATATTATATTGGTTTGTTAAAAAAACTATATATACTTATAGGTTTAAAAAAAGTGCAAAAACGATTAAAAAAAACATTATTGAATTGCGTAAATTGAATTTAGCACCACGTAATAATTCACTAATTTTTTTTAAAAAAAGGTTTTCGATTGAAAATTGATTTATTAGGCTTATTACTACGATTTTCCGCTGTATGGCATAAATAATTGTAAAAGTATGTTATAATTATATTCTGGTCAAATCTTGTGATGTATGATTAGCTATAAAATGAACTGAATTAAGACTAATTTGAAGCTTTACTTGTAGGTGATAGAACTGTGATTTTAGTGTGACTGTGATCTCCGGTTAAGCAAAACTATATGTAAATATGTCTATACACCTCATGTTACGAATTGTTTTAAGGCTTCGTAATAGTCAATTAGCCTGATCTGGATGCATTAGTTTTTATTAGTTCATTTGCAACATCACGTGTCGTTTGTATACTATAGTAACAAGAATGAATGGTTTATACGTTTCGTATGTATATAATTTAAAGAATATGAGAAGTATGGAACTGTAGTACCTACGAATTTATATTTATGATAACGTTTAATATCTTTTTCGTTTTGTACTTATACCCGTTAATGTTAATATATTGATATTAAATTATAAAATCAAAAAGTTGGAAATAAATATGCTTTATAATTTATAAAAATTAATAAAGAAATCATTCACTTCAAGTGTCAAAGTAACAACTTCTAAGAAACTACGTATGTACATTCAGACTCTAGGAAGACAATCGACTTTCTAAAAAAAAACTTACGTTTATTTCAGGAAACAATTCATGAGCACCTTTGAGTATTAACGTTTAAGTCACTATACTTAGCATGCTGTTGAATTTGTAACAAAGCGTCAGAAAGGTCGACAAAACTCGATCAAAAAGATAGCAGAACGACCAGTGCAATGCAACAAACAAATACATAAGAATAATAGAGAATCATCGAATCCTTGTGAGACTATGTAATATGAAAAAGGTCAATAAACATGAAATTAATGTCAGTCTTTTATGTCAAATGAAAAGGACAGCAGTTTCGTTTAAGAAAAAAGAAGGGGTAAGTTGTTGATGATACACCAACCTTCAAGCTCGCGTTCTCATGATAATTGATAAACTATGCAAAACCAACAGCTAATATCTTTCCATAAACGAAACTATAATTCCTACATATCCATTTATTATATCAATTTATTATAATTATAATAAATATAATGCTTTCGTAGACAGGCCTCTATACGTTCACTGTATCTACTGAACAGAATTACAATTTTTTTGTATAGAAAATATTTCTTGTATACAAGAACTAAAAACTTAAAAACATTTGGAAATATAATTCGTAAAGTATAAAATAATATTTCATAATAAATGCACAAGCTACATTCTATATAAAAGAAATAAAGTGGAATACGTGTCTGAGCAGAGAGCGCAGTAGAAATTCAAGGCAAATATCAGGCTGCAGTAGAATAAGTACGCGCGTAGTCAGACACCGCCGTACACGGGAGTAGATTGAGACGTATCACGTAGATCTTATCTTATACTGTTTTGTTTGCGCCTTGAAATCATGCTCACCGTGCTATATCGCGTTCTAATCGTCTAAACTTTGATGCTAGCTAATGCATTTTTCAAACGTGTTTGTAAAAGCATGGGTACGCAATGCGGTGACTATGAAGACGAAAGGGGTAAATTCGTTTAGTTAGCCAGGTGGTTCGAGAACGGTCTGATCAACAAGAACTTGACATTGAACCTGCTTACACACATGATGCGCCCGCACCCGCACACATTAACTGCAGGGTGGAAGGACGGACATTAACTCAAATGTATGCAAAACACATGCACATGGATATGTATCGTAGAAAAGGAAAGGATTAGCTGCGCATGGGCGTATCTATGGTGACGATTGACTCTTGCTACCGACCTCTAGTCGTTTCCAACAATCCATTATATTACACCGTTATCGCGCCGCGTCATCGGGAAACCTCTGCCCGTGAAAGTACCGCTCCGGAAGCCTCGCGTGTCGGCCGTGTTTTTTCGTCGCTGTACCACGCGCGTTACCATTTTAATTTCGGTGATTAATCAAAATCGTCGTGGGACTCACGGGACTAAACGTGGAACAGCACTGGACAAAGATCCACGTTCGAGGAATGTTTATTGCGTAAGTTCACGGAATTGATCGATGAGTTGAACGGTACAAGTTCAAAAGACCGCTTCTCGATTTGAAAATGTTATTTCAATCCTAATGCGACTTAATTGTTATCACGATTTCATTCTTGAATTCGATTTCCTATATACAAGAAAGAAAATGCTTCTATAATAACTACTACAGAATCGTCATAATACTTTTCTACGTGCTATAGTAGTGCAAAGGTCTGATGACAAATATTCTTTTTAAAATAAACCTATCAAACATTGATTCAGATTTTTTAAAATTGTTTTGCATATTCTATTTAGTTCAAAATATACAGACTAAAAGACACACGCGTGATATTCTTACTACATTCTTCCTGTACGTGAAGCGTATAATTCATCAGATTTTCATGATTGTTTTCTAGATTCTATTTGTGGATTCATCATTGAAACTGGCCTATGCGGAATTAAAAGAAAGTGCGTCGTTTCATGTAACAAATAAAACTACTAATCATCATTGCAAATATTTTATATTCAACCAACTTGTTCTGGACAACGATTCATCAGTTCAGAGGAGTTCTAAAGAAGAAAAGTGTGAAGCCGTTGAGTGCTGAACTGGCCACAAGGAAGTATTCGAAAAATTGAACGAAAAAGTGTCTTATGTGAGAAGGAAGTTGTTGATTGTGACGTGGTTGTTTTCCCGAGGGGGACGTGAATCGAAGAGGAAGTGACATTTAATTAATTTGAAGCATGTGAGTAAATGGCCGTGACAGGATCTTGGCATCCTTCGAACGACCTACTATGGGCATCTGCCTGGACACTGGTAAGTACTCATTCAAACTGGATCGTTTATAGTACTTGCTATCTATCCTACATACAATTTTACGGATAAATTTTGTGGTTCTTGGCAGAAACTAAATATTAAAATTTCCTTCGATCAGTTCGTCAAACGTTAATTCTTCACAGACTTCTTTTCACTGTTTACCAGTGTAACGCGGCGAGCGTCAGGCGACGTTCCACGTTTGTCTGTTTGTGCCTATAAACTCGTCATAATCAATACGAATTAAGTTTTCATATCTCAGACCATCGTTGTTTTAATTTTCTCTTTTTATTTGTAATATGTCAAGGTATCACGCAACTTTGCCGAATATTAGACAAGAGTTTTAAGAAAAGCACATTTATTTGGATAAATAATTTCATGTCAAGAGTTAAGCCATTGAAAGAGAAAATGACCCTTTCTTGACAATAATGCGAATTTGTTCACAGTACCGTATTATTGAAGTTGGTCACGAGGTTCAATACTTAATTATCTAATTGGATTTTTCGATTGGATTAAGTTGAACTTTTAAGCTTGCGTTGGTAAATTACAAACAGCTAGTTAAAATCGACTAACTTCGCTAATGAAAACGAGGCAATGCGATTAAAATAGTCGATACAAATTACATCTTAAAATGACCGTCACAGTCCACGTGGCGGAAATTCTAATTAATAAATTTGTATTAATCCATGTCACAATAAAATGAGTATTTCCCTTCAAATTTGATCGCTAAACGATAAAAAGTCTGGCGTGAAATGTTTTGTATAATTTCTTATTTGATGTTCAGTTAAAATGTGAATATATTGAGGTGCACGTGTGACCCACAAATACCTTGTACTTGACATTACACATATTAATTGATCGATCAGTCTTCCCGACGATTTCCCAAAAGGAAGGAAGGGGTGAAAACTCTTTTAAACTCCGCGCTTTACTTGTCTATTATCGCATGGAAGAAATTAAATATGGAACTACTGGAGCTACTCCGGCAACGTGTGAATTATAGTTACCCTCGCTTTTAAAAGTAATGGATTATAAGTTTCTCTTTCAGTAGTACAGAAATTACGTACTTACGCGTGCTCACGCTTCTGAGAGTTAACAAATACGAAATATGAAAAATGACTTTATTTATTATTTCAATATGGGAAAATAAGACTTGTGAAATAAATATAATCCAAAAATGTATTCGTATGCTAATACGGAATACGTAGCTATTATCGAGAACGATAGCCATTTCATTGACTGTTCTTGAAGCCACAGGTGCTAAAAACATCAACTATTTGTTTTCACATGTAATTGAAATTTCATGACTGACTTCCATTACGTTATGTATTTTGTTCGTAAATACACGTGGCTTTTATCTTTTAATTCTTTACCATTGATTAATTGATTAGACGATAAATACTTACGCATAGACAATCTTTTTTAAACACGTAACGAATACAAAATTTATAAAGTAAAACGTGTACGTGTCGCAATATACGATTACAGAGCAACTTAGATTTATTAAAAATGATTATGGAGTTAACAGTTCATGTACAAATTGAGTATCGCGACGGGGGCAAGGAAATTTCTATAGACGTGACTCATGTTGTCTATGCATGTAACCGAATCAATATTTCAAATAAGTTCATAACGTTTGTCGTTAGACAAACGTGTTTATACCTTTCTCTGTGGAGTAAGCAACAAACAGAAACTAGGTCTCAAGAAAAGATTCATAAATGAAAGTAAACTTTCACGATCATGCGTATGAATGATGTACGATGGTACAAAATTTTTATCAATTTAATTAGAAAATATGTTATCGTATATAGTAGCTCATTCAGAAATTGAAGTAAACATAACATTATATAAAAATTAGAATAAGTATATTCAAGTATCGTCCACTCTAATATCTATAGACTGTAAGTGAATTTGAATTAAACGACATTTACCAAGCCTATCATTATCTAATGCTTCTGTGCCTTAAAAATGATTTTCAGTTAACATACGACGTATACGTAGTTTTACTAGGAAAAACCGCGTTACGTTATGTAGTGTGCGATAAAGTTTGTGATCTATACACACGTGAATGCAATAGACACGGTTCTGTAGAGTAGAGTCAAAAGAAGACCGTAAGTAATTTACTTACGTACATAGCTTAATCGATATCGAACAAGCTAACGATACCTTTACACGATGCTCTCCGCCGTTGTAAAATTCAGATAAGACGAACTTATTCAATTACATATTACTTCTTGTTAATTCATAACAATACAGTAGAATAAATTGCGCACGTCTGGTCAATAAACACATTATATCTCTTGTAGTCGTCAATATTTAAATTAACTGTATGCACAAGGAGTGTTTATATTGTCACGCAATATGTACAGACACATTCCGCGAACATGTACATGCGATGTAAAAATTTAATGTACCTAAAGATTTATAGATAAATATTAATTTTAAGGTACTGAGTCCTATTTCCGATGAATCGACTCTTTTATCCTGCAGATTGCATTTCTGTTCATGTGTTCGATAACTAATCTGTATTTAGATTATTCCATTAATAATCTGTTGCTCAGATTTGTAACATTGCTCTGTCATCGGACCATGTTTTTGTATGTTAATATTTTATTATTCTCGTTATTGAATCGAGAGTTCTGTTGCAGATCAACAAAATGGATCCCAGGTGTTCGAGGAAGCTGATGCTCGAAGTGCGGGAAAATGGCGAGGAGAGGCTGGCCTGCTGTCAACCCCTCCGGATGGATATTTCCCGCAACAAAACGTTGGACCTGTTAAATTTGAAGTTCCAAAAGTGCCAGTCATATTTGTCCTCGGTTCGTACATTATTTCTCAGTTTCGGTGTACATTTCTTACGACATCAATTTCGATTGCTACCAGGCGGTCCCGGCAGTGGAAAGGTGACACATTGCGACAGCCTAACGCAAGAGAAGAAAGGCATAACGCATATAAATATGATGGATCTCCTACAACAATACGCCTTAGGAAATGGTACCGGAAATATAATAATATAATAAATAATAATAGAAATATAATAAAATATAAATTCTCAAGTGAAGCGATTGAAACTTTGCACGATGCTTTTATATTTTCTGATAGATATGCAAGATTTCGGGCAGCTTAGCAGTAAAACAGTAGCGGAGGTCCTTATGCTCGAAATCAAAATGTCACCAGGCTCCAAAGTCTTTCTCGTCAGCGGATATCCGCGAAATATGCGCGACGTAGTCGAATACGCCGAAAAAGTGAGTATCAATCGTCCCTAAAAAAACATTTACTGTTCTTGTTTAATGACCTTTTCATCTATAATCGACAATTATAGCATAAAACTTTTGAATCAACTGAAACGCAACGATGAAGTTTTACGTAATTTGTCTTTAGATAAAAATTGTGAACGGCGTGATCCTCGTGTCATGGAGACAAGATATCCTCGAGAGACAGATCGACTTTGGAGCGCAACTCGGACAAGTAGTGATCGAACTGGCGAGAATGGAACTTTATAATTTTTATAGAAACGTTATGCCTGTGGCCGAGTATTTCGACCAAAGTGGTATTTTATTAGAGGTGAACAAATAAATTCATTGTCATAACATTTCTTCAATTGGTACTTATGCGATGTGAATTACAGATAAACGGGGAAAGAAATCCTAGCGAAGTATACGTCGATTTTCGCGAAGCTGTTTTTAAAATCCTCGGTTTGTCAACTGGTGAGGTGCGAGATAAAAATGTTCCTCAACCGTTAGAAGCAGAAGTAAGTTAATTTCAATTAATTAATTTAATATTGTTTCTATATAAATTATTCTATTTTTGCAATATTATGTTGTTAACGTTTATGTATTCACGGGAGATTTGAATTTGCAGGTAGAAGTCGAAAGGAGAAAGGAATCTATTTCGGAGATTAGGAAGTCGCCGTCTCTTAAGAAAGAATCGGCGGCCCAAATCGCACGAATACCCTCTTCAATCGACGTGAAATCATCGAAGACCGCGAAGAAGCCCAGAAAGGGTTTACCCGCGTTTATCTGGGTCATAGGTAAAAAGAAAAATACTATTCCCATAAGTTACGATTAATCCTTTCAGAATATCCTTACAACTTCAATGTTTGTACATGAGAATATTGGAAGTACAAACGACTTTTAATAAGAATAAATAAACTCCTACGTACATTATTTTTACAATGAGCAATATCAAATGAAATCTGTGTTTTTTCATCAGGTGGTCCAGGAAGCAACAAAGAAAACTTGTGTACCCAGGCTGTTCCCAATATGCCAGGCTGGGTTCACGTGAGCATCGGCGGAGTGCTTCGAACAATGGCAACGTCAAACACTATTGTAAACGATGCCATTGTGTCGGGTGAGATGGTCCCGCAGGACATCGTGATGCAAGTGGTAGAAGAGCAAATTATGGCGAATCGCGACACGGATGGCATAATAATAGATGGTTACCCTAGAGACTTAAATCAAGTTCAGGAATTTGAAAATAAGGTAATTAAGAATTGCATATAAATCTATAATATAAATATCTGAAAAGTCGTGATACAATTTTTTTTAATCAGTTCGGACAGCATCCCCCGTTAGTACTATTAGACTGCTCGAAACTACAACTTGGCAGAGGGAGGATAGACGACACTGTCTCCGCGTTTAGGAAAAGACTGGAAATCTTCCGTGATGTCTCCTTGCCTATGCTAAAAACCCTCGATAGCGAAAATCGTCTAACCATCGTAAGTATCCTTCGCAGTTTCCCTGTCTTCACAATAATGTGTATACAGTAAGTGTTTTACACAGATTATTATTTTATTTGAAACAATTTTTAGATCGACGGCGATACGGATGTGCCGAGCGTACAACAGGAATTCGCGGCAGCGCTTTATCAATTAATGACAAAAACACAGCGCAAAGAAGAAAACGATCAGCGTGCACCTGATTCACCCACATCGAGGGAAAACGAGAATAACTTAAATGTAATAATGCCTAATAATAGGAATCAACCGACCACACCAAACGGTGTCTCTAAGCCGATCATCGACGACGAATCAAATACGGAGAAAGTAATTAACGCTACGAACAAAATGAACGGAATAAGCATACACGGTAAGTGCCATTCCTACAGTTAATGACCTTTGGGGTAAATGAAAATGTCAAATGAATGAAGGCAATGAATTTGTAATCGCAGGGGCAGTGAAAATTGCGAACGGGTTGAGAAATAACGCGAGGCAAGTTCAGAAGAATGGCGTCGCTCATCGTATGCAAAACGGCATAGCCAATGGTACCGCGCACATGTTGCAAAATGGTGTGGCGCACTTGGCCAATGGAATCGTACCGAGCAACAAAGTTGCACCGGCTGTACAAAATTACTTGCCCGCGCAGGACGCGGTGAGGAAAATGTACAACGAGGTCGAAGGTTATCAACAAAATTTACACATGTAATTTGTGCTCGTTAAAGTGGAATACAAACTTGCATACAAAATTTTTAATCACGGATGAAAATTGTTATTTGTAATTATTTTGTTTAAGTTTCACATGGTACTTCATAACTTAACGAAATTATGAAATTAATAATTATATAAAGTCAAGATAAAATACGTAGCTACTAAAAATCCATTTAATAGAGATGTTTTAATAGTAGCTCTCGCAGGCCTAATTTCGAAGCCGAGTTTTCTTTAGTATTGAAAAATGGTAACACAGTATTGCATTTTCATTCCACTCTAACATTAAATCGTTACCTGAGTAAAAATCTAAAAGAGAAAATATTTTTAATATCGCCTTATCTTTTTATAAAAGTAATAGATCATATTTATATATTCACGAAATCAAATGGGAAGTGGAGATTTCTCGCTGATCCAATAATATAGTGAAGATAATGTTATAAATGGTGCGTCTGAAAAGGAGTATCTCGAGTTACCCTTTAAGTAAGATGATACAAAAATATTAGAGAATCATCGTATCACTTTTCCTAAAGAAACCTTTTCCGGAGACCACCTATTTGTATAAAAGTAATAATATATCTGCATCGTGCCTTGAGACGACTACGACTTAAATAGGATTAAACGAAAGATTTAAAAGTAAAGCCAAATGCAGAATTATATCCGCAGATATGTTGTAGAATAAAAATTGGGTATAAAGTGAAAGTTGGGTAATCGAACGAGTATCGAGATTCCGAATCTCAAAAATGCATATAGCTGTATTCATTTTTTTAATTATGATAGAAAATATATACTTATCAGTCTTTTTACCACTTTTTTCATTTCTTAGTTAGGGATGTATTGGCTATACAGTCAATCTCAAAAGTTTATGTACCTCAGAAAAACG